GGTGTGTGTGTGTGGGGGGGGGGGTTACAAATCTGTTGTCCTTACTCATATACAGACAAGTAGTCCCATTGGATTTAGGGGAGTAATTCAGTAAGCAGAAGAGTCCTGCATGAGCAGGAGCTGCACAGTTTAGTTCTACAAGCTGATGTTCTTTCCCTAAAGCATCTGGTATAACTATGACCAGTAGCTAAGAAGAGCAATTACAAAAAATGCAAATGAAAGGAAAAGGAATTGAAGCAACTTTCAGACTAACGTAAATATTTTGGATGTTGTCCTGGATGTCTTAGGAATGTCTCAAACACAGACTACACAGCACAGAATGCACGCATGAAGTCAGATATTTCAGTGTTATTTTCATATTAAATAGTAAACATTTCCTTGGAGGTTAGGAACATCATCCTTAGAAATGTGAGGCATGCAGAAAATCAATGTGTCTAGTAATGTTTCTTCTGTGAGTTCCAAACACTTTCGCAAGCCTTTCCAGTGTAATATTTTATAAGCATATTTATAAATGTACAGATAATTCTTACGATTAAAAATCTTCCCACAGTTTTAACATGTTTCAGAGAAATGGTGATTAAGAAGTCACAGTTACCTTAGTAACAGCTAAAAGGCACACAGTGGGAAAGTGCTCAACTTAACCATTAAAGACAAATCCGAAAAGCAAAGTTCTCAAAGCCATGCTCTCATTTTGAACAGCTCTTTACATTGAAAAGAAATGTCCAATTTTCAAAGAAGGCATTCTGAACACAGCAATATTAGCTTTTTTATAGAAAAAGCCACAAGATATTTAAAAAATTGCTAACAGAAAAGATCATGTATATTTTAAGATATTTACTACAAAATCCTCTTCCAAATGCAACTTCTTGGATAGTTTATTACAAATCAAAACATCAAATCCCAGTTTCTGTTTTTAAACTAATAGCTTGTAAGAGATTCTGATAATAATATTTAAATTATGTTCCTTGAACTTCCAGTTAAAGACTTGTGCCCCTAACTACATTTCATACCCATAATGAGCATGAAGATGATTGTAGAAGAGGATTCTGCAGCTTTCTTTCCTTTAGTTTAATTGAGGATCATTAAGTTCTATGAATCCCTTAGGAGTTCTGCAAATTTACAGCAGTAGAGAGAGGTAGAGACCTGAAGAGCCTGAGAGGAAACTGCTGGCCTAAAATGAATTGTGAGAATAGCATCTGTGTCACCATCTCACTAAGTTCTGCTTCTGGATTATTTCATTTCGGTGAGGAAATGAGTTCATTTCTGGAAAAGAGGATAGGATCTGTTTGCAAACTAAAACACAATGAAAGTTTTAACACTTGAAGAGGTAGCTACAATAAATAA